GTTGTATATTAAACCCACTTAATCCTGAAATCTTATAGGATAGATGAAATAGATAGTGCTTCTGAATCTCCCGTAAGTCAAAATCTTAGGGCTCTGTTTAATTCTGCACTATCTTCATGAAGGGCTTAATATAAATGACATCAGTCTGGATTAGTATCCAATTAGAGTGTTGAGCCCCCATGAGAGACTCTCTGAAAAGGATGTAACCCTAATTTGGGAGATTTTAATATCTGAAGATACCTAGAAAGAGTGTGGAGAGATTGATCTGGAAATTTAAAATTTTTTTTTAATTTTATTGAATCCCCGTGATATAGTTACAAGCTTTCATGTTTGGGTTACAATCACACAATGATAACCCATCCCTCCACCAGTGCACATTCCCCACCACCAATCTCCCCAGTATACCTCCTTTCCCCACCCTCCCCCTGCCTCCATGGCAGACAATATTCCCCATACTCTCTCTCTATTTTTAGGCATTATGGTTTGCAATACAAACACTGAGAGGGCATCATGTTTGGTCCATTATTTACTTTCAGCACACATCTCCCATCCTGACTGATTCCTCCAGCCATCATTTTCTTAGTGATCCCTTCTCTATTCCAGCTGCCTTCTACCCTCTCCACGCATGAGGCGTCTTAATGAAAACTTTTTGTGTGAGGTTGCGCTCAAAGAAAGTCAATGACTGTCACTCATTCCTCTAAGGGAGTAAAGAGAAGCATAATGGTTTCTTTCCCATTATATTAGGTGTATACCAAGAATCCCTGAGAGGAGAAAAAGGATTAGAGAAAATACTAGGAGCCTCGACTAAGTGAGGTATTAATTATAGGACAATTTGCTCGAGCGGGCCCGGTAACATCTCCATTGGAGACTTTGTTGTTACTGTGTTTGGCATATCGAATACGTCACGGGGAGCTTGCCAGGCTCTGCCGTGCCGGCGAGATACTCTCGGCAACTTGCCGGGCTCTCCGAGAGGGGCAGAGGAATCAAACTTGGGTTGGCCATGTTGGCTGCGTGCAAGGCAAATGCCCTACCACTGTGCTATCGCTCCAGCCCAATAGGTTGGCAGAATCTGAACTCAGTAAGGTGTTAATCTGAAGAGAATGGGTTGGGAGACAATTTTATTTTTTTTTCAATTTCTGATACCAAAACTTGATACAATCTTTTTTCCCAGTGGTTGCCACTTAGATCTCATGTTTTTAGTTTCTTGAATCTTTGTTTTAAGTATATGGCTATATATTTTACTCATATCACCATTATAACTAAAATTCTTCTGCCTGTTAACCCTTTATTTCTTCTTCATTTTAAAAAATTTGTTTTATTTATTTTATTTAATATTTAAATAATATATATATATTATATATTATATTATATTCCATATATTATCAGGCTGGAGTGATAGCACAGCAGGTAGGGCATTTGCCTTGCATGTGGCTGACCCAGGTTTGATTCCTCTATCCCTCTCGGAGAGCCCAGCAAGCTACCGAGAGTATCCTGCCCACATGGCAGAGCCTGGAAAACTCCCTGTGGTGTGTTCAATATGCCAAACACAGTAACAACAAGTCTCACAATGGAGACGTTACTGGTGCCTGCTCAAGTAAATCAATGAACAATGGGAGGACAGAGCTACAGTGCTATTCAATATTTAATTTTCATTGAAAAAAACCACTGTGAGATAGACCCTTACAAAGCTGTTCATGATTAGGTTTCAGTCATGCAGTGTTCCAACACCCATCCCTCCACCAGTGTACATTTCCAAGCAACACTGCCCCCAGGTTCCCTACCATCACCCCCAACCCTCCACACCTCAGCTTGCTTCTATGGCAGGTGCTTTTCTTCTCTTCTCTTCTCTCTCTCTCTCTCTCTGAATGCTGAAAGGTTTAATAGGAGAATGAATTGGCAGTCTCCTGCCCCTGTGCCTGGCTGTTCCTCACGGGGTCCCTTGGAGGAGAGTGGGTTGAGCTTTCCTCCCCGCCCCGACCAGGGCTCCGGCAGCGGAAGACCTCCAGGACCAGCCACCACCATGCCGAGACCACTCTCCGCACACATGAAGGTACTGGCAGAGGGACAAAGCCACGCGGGTTCCGGGGCCGAGATCTCCAAGCCTACTCGGATTGGAGTTGAGCATCCTCCACCCAGATCCTCCAAATTCCAGTAGGCGGGGGTCACACCCACCACCTGGCCCCCTGGCGCTGTGTAATCCCATCAGCGGCCAAGACTCAGAGACTATAAAATCCAGCTCCCGGAACTGCGCGGCCGCGAATGGCCACGCGACATCTTATCAGGACATCCTTTTATGACATCTTATTATCTCATTTCTACTTTGGACAAACTTGCAGGCTATCGAATGTAGCCTGCCCACAGGGCAGAGTCTGGCAAACTCCCTGTGGCGTACCAAATATGCCAAATACCAGTAACAATGATGGGTCTCATTCTCCTAAAGAGCCTTGAATATAATCTCAGGGCTAGGATGAAAGAGACATTACTGGGGCCCGCTCAAGGCAATCGACGAATAACAGGATGATGAATGAATGAATTGGCAGAATCTGAGCTCGATGATGTATTAATCTGAAGACAATGCATTGGGAGGAAAATTTACTTTATAAACCTTCCAGCATTCAGGAAATAATTGTGGGAGAAAGAGGACTCTTTACCTAGGAATCTGACACTAGGTCTCTGAGTGGCAATGTGGCAGGAAAGTAGCTGACTTCAAGGGTATAGGAGTGGATGATTAACTTTCTTTACCTATCCAGCTCTGGACAAAGAGTTTTTCCTTCACTCTGGAAGGTTTGTCCTTGATGCCTCTGGGTAGGTATAGACCTTCTTTTGTAAATTCTGTTTATTGTGGATCTTTTAAGTGAGCAAAGAAATTTATTAAAGCAAGGATAGAACATCTAATAAAACATCCTTGATTTTAATTTCTGTGATTCAAATAGTGTATCTTGTTCTTTAATACAGAAACAAAAAAAAATCAGGGATATATACAAGATTTTTATGGCTTCCTACTAAATCTCCATTCTAATTGCTTTTATTTTGATTTCCATTATAACTCTTCAATTTTAATATCATAAATGACTCCAATATATCTTAAGAAATGGGAGATAAATGAAATGCAGACTTTTCTTTTTTTCTTCTTTTTGAATTTGCTGATAAATTGGGAGTTTCTCTAACTACCCCCCAAATTGCACTCATAGTGGAAACACAGTAAAGCTCATATTTGTAAACACTTACTATTTTGGCTGCTCAGGCAAACGCAAATAAACTGAGCCATGCTTGCTTTCTCTCACACCTTGAATCCAATCTATCAGCACAATATGAGACTTTTACCCCCAAATATCCCAAATCAATCTTTCTCAAACTTCTGCCTAAACTATCCTTGTCCAAGCTATGACAGGAAACTTGGGTTTGCAGTTGGTTCCTAATCTGCCTCCCTCATTCTGTTCTGGCTCCATCCTATTTTTACTACAACTGCCAGACTGTTCTTTTTATTACCAAAATGATAGTATTTCTCATCTTGATCACTTGATCACTTGACTTCCTGTTAACCGTCGATTTGCTTGAGCGGGTGCCAGTAACATCTCCATTTGTCCCTGTCATGTGTTAGTGTAGCCCAATGGCGTCTGTTTGTTCTAGGAACATGAAGAGCCTCAAACTGATCGTTCATGATCTTGATGAAGAAGTCTGACCATCTGGTAGGTGGGCGGCCACATGGTCTTTTGAGGTCCCGTGGAATCCAGTCGGTAACGGCTCTAGTTCAGGGGTCATCTTTAAATCTCATTACGTGTCCAGCCCATCTGATTTTTGACGCCTTGGCAAACGAGACGGCGTCCCTGATTCTTGATCCTCAACGGAGGTCGGAACTCTGGATTCTTTCTCTCATTTGAGTGAAACGTGATACTCCAAGCATAGTAAAGTAAGTAAAGGCCCTCCCGTTGATCATCGATTTGCTCGAGCGGGCCCAGTAACGTCTCCATTTGAGACTTTGTTGTTACTGTGTCTGGCATATCGAATACGTCACGGGGAGCTTGCCAGACTCTGCCGTGCTGGTGAGATAACTCTCGGTAGCTTGCCAGGCTCTCTGAGAGGGGCAGAGGAATCGAACTCAGGTTGGCCATGTTGGCTGCGTGCAAGGCAAATGCCCTACCACTGTGCTATCGCTCCAAGCATATCTCTTTCAATTCCTCTTTGGGAGACCCGAAGAGCGTTCTCATCCTGTTTGCGTAGGGCCCAGGTCTCTGAGGCGTATGTTAATTCAGGAAGAACAGTGGAATCAAAGAGATGTGCCCGGAGCCAGAGGTTCTTCATCCTCTTAGCTATTTCTTCTACACTCTTGAAGGCATTCCAAGCCACTCTCTTCCTCCTGCACAACTCAGGTGGCAGGTCATTCATCATGTTGACTTCTCGACCTAGGTACACATAACTGTTGCATTCGGAGATGGTCATTTCGTTGAGAGTGAATGGAGTGTCAGGAATGAGGCTGTTTCTCATGAACATTGTCTTCATAATATTCAGCTGTAGACTGACCTTTCCACACTCAAACTAGGCTGCCAAAACGAAGGAAGACAAAAATGATCGTCTGTTTCTCATCTTACTTGCAATTAAAAAAGTGAAGTAAGTACTATAGCTTAAAATGACTGTGACTTTTGCTTCCACTGTGCAAATCATCTTCCACTTTCTCATACAGTCCTTCTCCACTATCTACTTACTGACAAATGTGCAGTATTCGGGAATTTGACTATTTATATTTTTCTCAAACACCTGATGGCATGGCCTGCAGCCCTTTGGTTCTTTGTGAAACAGTAGTTTCAAAGTCTTCTGCATTTGTCTGTCATAACTACCCTACCTTTCTGCTTCACTATAAGCCATTTCGCTTATCTTTTATTTCTCCTCAAGTTTCACTACGCAGCATTGTAGCACTGTCATCCTGTTAGTGATCAATTTACTAGAGCAGGACCAGTAGTGTCTCCATTTTTCCCAGTCCTGAGATTTTAGCATCGTAAACTTCATACCCTCTCTCCGCAGATTCTGCATGCCAGCTGGATGTCCTTGGGCATAATGGTGACACGCTTGGTGTGGATGCTGCATAAGTTGGTGTCCTTGAAGAGCCCTACCAGGTAGGTCTCACACACCTCCTGCAGTGCCATGACAGCCAATCTCTGGGAGTGCAGGTGGGTCTTGAAGTCCTGCACAATCTCGAGCACCAGCCACTGGAATGGTAGCCTGCGGATAAGCAGCTCGGTGGACTTCTGGTAGCAGTGGATCCCGAGAAGCTCCACAATGCTAGGCCAGTAGTGGTGCGGCTTCTTCACATCACCTGTGGCTGGTATGCTCTTGCAGGTCTCCTTGGTGGCCAGCTGCTTGCTGGGTGCCTTCCCGCTTGTTGACTTAGGTGCCATCTGCTTAGTAAGAGCCCCTTCTTGTTCTTCCCAACTCAGCTGGAGACTCCAGGGTTAGGGAAATGAGACCCATTTTTGCTAATGTTGTTGGCATATTTAGTACATCATAGGTGGCTTGCCAGGTTCTGCCATGAGGGCTGGATACCCTTGGTAGCTTGCCCGGCTCTCTGAGGGCAGAGAGATGGAAGCTTTTGGGGCGATCTATAATCGTCCCTACAGGTGTTTCCAGTCTGCCGAATGTAAGCTCCTGGTGACCGGCCTGCTGTAACAATTTGCACTCTGATAACACGCAACTGCCTGCGCCTGGGGCATCTGCGGCCTCCAGTTGGTCTCCTTGAGATGGATGGAGTGCGACCCGAAGTCGTTGAATAGTTGGCAGAGCAAGACCCCATTGCACAGGGTCTGTGGCAGGTCGAACACCTGTGCCCCGTTCCAAGTCACTTGATGGTTGGTGGACAGCAGCCTGTAGTGGATAAGCCATTATGCACACTACTGTCACTGTTCCATGCTCGACGGTGTTGTGACTCGGCCTGGCCGGGGATACGGTGATACTGTGGTCACTACCGCGGTTTTTCCTTGCCCTGCAGATGTCATTTTGTCTTAATCCCGCAAAGTAGTTGGCAATGTCCAGCAGGAATCATGCACAGAGTTCCAGCAGGGATCACCCGCAGAATTCCATGCCTGGTGTGCTGAGTCATGCATCATACAGAGCGAGATGCTGAACCGTGTTAGGGATACTTCAAGGGGTTCAACTGGCCTCAGCTCTATCTTGCCTCCAATTCAGGCTCCATAGTTTCACTATACTTCTTTGTTAATCTCCCTGGTTAATAATGTTTGCTAAAACTATTTTGCGAATATCCAAAGTCTGGGGCTGGAGTGATAGCACAGCGGTAGGGCGTTTGCCTTGCGCGCAGACAGCCTGGCCGAGCCAGGTTCGATTCCTCCGCCTCTCTCGGAGATCCCGGCAAGCTACTGAGAGTATCTTGCCCGCAGGAAAAAGCCTGGCAAGCTCCCCGTGATGTATTCGATATGCCAAACACAGTAACAAGAAGTCTCAAAATGGAGATGTTACTGGGCCTGCTCGAGCAAAATTGATGAACAACGGGAGGACAGTGTGTGTATCCAAAGTCTAGATCAGTACTTGACATATGATGTGATTCAGTAAACATTGTGTTGAGGACTGAATAAGGCAATAATCAGGATTCATGTTCCACACAGTACATGAGTCCATGTCACTGGGATGTATAAAAGTTATGCATATTTTTCTCATTTACTCACCTGTTTTTCCTAAATCTTATTTATATGAGATAGACATCATAATTAAAATATATGAGTTAACCATGATGGTTCTTTAGGAAGAGGATATGAGTCTCTGTCAGTATAGCCACAGATATATACACATATGTTAGTTGAAAGGGGCATAAGTGAAATCCTGCATATTTTAGCTAGATAGGTTCAGATCTGCTTAGACTCTATAGCCTTCAAAGTCAGACAGAAGGTTTTCTTTTTTAAAATTTTAATTTATTGATATTTTTATGTTTTTAGTTCACACCTGAAGATGCATAGGGGTTACTCCTGGCTCTGCATTCAGGAATTACTCCTGGTGGTGCTCAGGGGGCCATATGGGATGCTGGGAATCGAACCTGGGTTGACTGTGTGCAAGGCAAACACCCTATCCACTGTGCTATCACTCCAGCCCCAGACAGAAAGTTTTTCAACTTCTCACAAAGTTACTCAATATTGTGATGGGAGAAGCAGTATGGGAGTGAGGTGAACAGTTTGACACTGAGAACTAAAGGTAGAAAAACAACCTACTTTTTGCTTCCATATGCTTCGAAGTTCTGTCTTTTATTTCTTATTTAAACATATTATCTATTTTTTTAAGAAAAGAGAAAAGTACTGGTGAAATCATCAGCACATTGACATAACTTACCCTAAAACACAACAGAGGGATCAATTGCAGAGCCTGCCCTAAGAATGAGTCTGCTGGATATCTTCCATTTTTTGGGTCCAGATCTATTTTCTACCCTCTACATCTTATGCTTCCTTGGATGGTTGGCATGTCTAAATTCTAGTACCAAGTTTCCTTAACTTGGTGTCCATTTTGGTTCACTTAAGGTGAAATCTCAGAGAAAACTAGAAAGGAGAAGTATTTTCTTTACCTATACCCTCGGCACTGAATGTTATAACTTGCTAGAAGTTAAATGTTTTTCTCTATATTTTCTTTTCTCTATATACATTTTTCCCCAAGCCAAACTGTATCCAACTTTATTACAGATGCTTTTCATAAACAGTTATGGTATTTCAGGCAGGACATGGGGAAACCATTGTTAACAGTATACAATAACTTTCAAACTTCCTTCTTCAACAGACTACCAAAATCAGAAAGTCACTATAAAACCCAATGACATCTTCATTTGATGCTCTGAACAGGAAAAATTTAGAGTTGGGTTGACATTTCACATTTAGTACACTGTTTAACAACTTTTCACAAGCCGACTCTGACTTTCAGGAAATGAAAGAAAACTGGCAGAATGATTAATCTGAAGATCCAAAATCTAAAAAAGGAACCGTTCTCTTTTCAGGGCTGCCATCTCTGTTGGGGCACTGCAAAGTCCAAATAGCCTAACACCCTATAACTTCTTTTGGGAAGTCCAGACTCAACAGATCTCCCTGGGTTTAAGGGTGTCAAGTCGACACTGAAGGCAGAGAGGGAGATAGGATGTAGAACTTTAGTTTTTCCCCACCAAAAGTCCCTGGGTGCCAAGGAGGCTAATGTGTCAGCATTGTGGAATCCCTTCTCTTGGAAACCAAGAAGAAATCTGTCAAACCTAGTGGGGAAAGTTGCTTCTCCCCAGGGCAATCCAGTTTGAGGGACATTCTATTAGTCACTTCTGCTCCTCCCCCAAAAACAACAATGAAGTGTTCTGTGTGTTAACAACATAGCTTTTTCTTTTTTAAAAAAGTAAAACAAGATTTCATATTTTAATAAAACTAGTGGCACTTACATACTCCTCAGAGTCCTGGGCCCTATGAAACAGCACCAGAATGCTATTCTGGTCTCCCAAAGAGGAATCGAAAGAGCTGTGCTTGGAATATCACATTTCACTCAAGTGAGAGAAGGAATCCGGAGTTCCGACCTCCGTGGATGATGGAGAATCAGGGACACTGTCTCGTTTGCCAAGTCATCAAAAATCAGATAGGCTGGACATGTAATGCCATTTAGAGATGACTGCTGGACTAGAACTGCTACCAACTGGATTCCATAGGATGTCAAAAGGACGTGTGGTCACCCACCTACAAGATGGTAAGACTTCTTCGTCAAAATCCTGAATGAATGGTTTGAGGGTCTTCATGTTCCTGGAGCGAGCAGATGCCATTGGGCTACACTAGCATGTGACAGGGATGAACAGAGACGTTATTGGTGCCCGCTCAAGCAAATTGAAGATTGACAGGATGAGAAGTGATACAAGTGATGCAATAAAACTTGATTAAAAATAGCATTTCAAATGGTATAATCACCAGAAATACATAGTTATCAAAAATGCACACATGTCACTTAGCACCTCCAGCATCTTCAGCTTTCTCTTCCTGGTATGTTTTGGCACCCCCATTTTCTGCAGGGTTATTTCCATCCTTGCTGGCATCAGCTTTCCCCCTTTTCCCTTTGGGATCCTTCTCTCCCTTCTTTTGCAGGGGCCGTTTTAGTCTTGGACTCTCGTTTTGGAGAAACAGGTTGAGCTGATAACCTTGTAGATATTCTCTGTGGTTCATCCTTCACCTTGACTTTCTTCTTTAGCATCTTCTTCAGCCTTTCTGTTGGGTCTGATGGTTGCATGCTCAGATGCGGAAGCATATGGGCTTTGGTGGGTCCAGGGGTCATTCTCACCTCTTTTTCTTCATGTCTATATTCCTTTTTATCTTTCAGCATCCTGAAAACTTTGTCTCACCCAAGGAATTGTACTGTGTCTTTTGCACAACTTCCCACACTTTTGTTCCTAGTTCATTTTAGACATCTCTTAGTTGGAACCCTGACTGAGACCATGTTTTCTAATAATAAACATATGTGAAGAATAAAAAGAAGAAAGAAGAAAAGAAGGAGGAAGAGAAGAGGGAGAAGGAGGAGAAGAAAGAGAAGAAGAGAAGGAGAAGGAGGAGAAGGAGGAGGAGGAGGAGGAAGAGGGGGAAGTGGAGAAGGAGGGGAGAGAAGGGAGGAGGAGGGGGGAGGAGGGAGGAGAAGGAAAAGGAGAGGAAGAGGAAGGAGAAGATTTTGATATTATATCAAAAACATAACCTAGGAGAACAGCAAGATAAACCAGCCATTCAAAACATGGACATTAAGGTTATAAAGAGTCTTTGAGATTCTTTAACTCCTGTCTTTGTACTATATGATAGAAACTGAGACATCAATTTAGTAACTGTGTCTAAGGTTATATGACCAATTGGTAACAGAATCACAATTTGTACTCAATCTAAGATATAAATCCATCTTTTCTTCTTCTTCTCCTTCTTCTCCTTCTCCTTCTCCTTCTCCTTCTCCTTCTCCTTCTTCTTCTTCCTTTTCATCTTCCTCCTCCTCTTCCTCCTCCTTCTCCTTTTTTTCCTCCTCTACCTCCTCCTCCTCCATTATCTTGCCCAGGCCTAAGATTGGAAAGAATGCATTCCCTTCTGTAAACAATCACTGTTTTTTTTTCTTTTTTTAATGCAATAAAAATAAAATCAATTAACATATATGTATATATTCACGTATATGTATATACCCTGTTCACTGTGATTGTGCTCACTGAGATCATACCTGAAGAAAGAACAAAAAAATCTTTCTTCAATTGTGGCTATGGGTAATAGTTTCTTTCCTGGCCACATCATCTTTGCCTTCTGCTTTACTGACTCATTTCCTGTGTTTCACATTGTCCTTTTTTGTGATACTGTCACACATGCATTTTTATATTAAATGGAGAATACTCTTATTTGCATTATGGTTGGCCACTAGAAGTTCAAATTTGAAATACAGAATTCTCTATAGCAACTGTTGCTACAGATACAGTAATCTATTGCAGGGCCATCCAGACTTTGAGGTTCTTCAAAAACACTCATGCATGTTTCTATGTTGAGGTTCTTTAAAAGTACTGGTGAGATTCTCTCTCTTGATAGATATGTACATACATGCATAAATAATGATAGCCACTGTTTTCCAATTTAGAAATCTGTATGTTCTGTCTGATAGGCTGTGTTTGCTTATGGGATTCAGTCCAGATCTCCATGATTAATGAACTAATACTATTCACTAGAGAGCAGGGTATAAGGGGATGGTGACTCAGACTATAGTTTAACCAGAGAGCTTAGAGTTCCATGGAATCATTTCGCTCCTGGCCACATCTCTGCTCAAGCTTGTGAACCAGGAGACCACATCAGTCTAACATGGATAACTCAGTGCCAGCTCATTGCTGTGTTTGGCCCGGAGTCAGCAACCTGTCCTCATCT